GCGGCAGGCTGACGGTGCCGCTGTCGAGGGAGGAGGCTCCTTCCCGCAGCACCTGTTCATACCAGTACTCGCAGAACTTGGGCACCAGCTGCAGCAGCAAACCATCAGGGTTATGGGCAGGGTTAGGGGCAGCTGCCTGATGTGGCTGCACCGCCCTGCATGGCCCCGTCCTCCTGGAGCGGAGGAAGGAGGTGTGCAGGGCCCTCTATAACTCTCCCAGCCCCTGAGAGTCCCCATCCCTGGGCAGCTGCCTCCCACCCCATCCTGCCAAGGTGGGGTGCCAAGGTGGCCCTCCCTGGATGCCAGGCCCCCAAGGGTCCCCTCTCCAGGCATCTGCCTCCCCCTATTTACCCTGCTCCCCAAGGGTTCCCCTACCTGGGCACCCACTTCCCCCCCATCCCCAAGCCCCAAAGGGTCCCACTCCCTGGACATCCAGCCCCCACCCCCATCTCCCTGCTCTCTAAGGGCCTCCTCTCCCCTGTCAGTCAGATGCCCCATCTCTCCCAGCACCCAAGGTATCCCCTCGTTGGGTACCCAGATTCCCATCTGCCCCAGACCCTGAGGATCCCCCTCCCTGGACCCCAAGGAACCACAGTCTCCCCTTGACCCCAAGGATCCCTCTCCCCAGGCACCCAGACACCTATCTCCCCTGGCCCCCAAAGGTCCCTCTCCTTGGGCACCCAGCCTCTGAGGGCCCCCCTCCTTGGGCTCCCAGACCTCCATCTCCCACACAGAGGGTCCCCCCTCCTCAGGCACCCAGAACCCCCCCATCTCCCCTGGCCCCAGGAGTCTCCCCCTCCCTGGGCAGCAGTGGGGCAGGGGTGGGTATTGGCCCCTTGACCTTGACCAGGATGAGCTTGGACTCCTTGGGCTTGTCTTTGGAGAAGAACTGCCCGAAGCAGAGGTAGATGGTGAAGTCAGGGGATCGTTGCCTTCGGCCGTTGCGGAAGTCCCTCAGCTCTGCGAGGGGAGACAGGACTCAGTTTTGGAGTGAGCCCAGGGGACATGGTGGGGCTGGGAGGGTTCAGATGCTTGTGTGCTTGTGACATCCTAGAGCCAAGCCCCAAAACGAGCCCCAAAACCAGGAAGGGGAGGGAACGAGACAAGGGGATTGAGGTGGAAGGATGGACACACAACACACTCCTGCCCACCTGTGCAAAACTCATTGAAGTCAAAGATGGGGGTTTCCTGGTCCCGGCAGAGCATGTTGGGTGGGGGGTCCTCGACGCCCTCAAGCTGCTGGGACAGGGCCCAGAAGACCTTGCACTTCTTCAGGCGGGTGGCGAAGAGCTTGCTGGCACGTTGCTCCAGCTGCAGCCCCACGCCGCCCAGCAGCTTCTCGGTGAAAAGCCGCTGCTTGCTATCGGCCAGCTCGGCGGGGCTGGGGAATTGCACCAGGCGCCCGGGGCGCAGGGCCACCGCTGGGTCGGAGGGCTGGTACACCAGCAGGCACTGGCTGCCCCCCACCTCCTCCTGGTGGCAGAGCTTCCCCCGGTAGTAGATGCTGATGTCCAGGATGGTGATGATGCCACCTGCACCGGGCAGAGATCAGCAGCGGTATTCCCCAAACCCAAATCCTACCTCTCCCCAAAATGCCCCTTAAGCTTTAATAACTATTAATAATTATAGAAAATATCATTATAATAAAATTACTTACAGCTATAATTAATAACCCTCACCTGTGTTATCCTCTGGTGGCGGTGGTGGTGGTGGCGGCACAGGGTTGGCAGTGGGGGCAAAGAGCATTGCCTCCCCTGGGGATGGCACAGGAACCGTGACCTCCGGCAGGTGGCATGGCAGTGGCATGGGCCCTGTGGCAGGAGATGGGCAGCATTGGCATGACGCTTCAGGGTGTAGCAGGGTGGGGGTTGCTTTGGCATGGAGTGCAAGTGGCAGCAACCTGGCCTCTTCCCACCCTGTTAGGGCGTTTCCACGCCTGGGGCTGGATCCTGTCCCACAGCACCCACCGTGGCCCTCCAGCAGCACGGAGTCTGAGGGGCTGTAGGTGCCCAAGGGGGGCTGCTGCACCACGGGCACCCACTGCTGACATGCCGGCGGCAGAAGGCAGTTGTTTTGGCTGGGATCTGGGTGAGGCTGAAGTAGGTTGTCCTGGTGGGAGGTGTCCACTGCAGAGAAATCACCAGTGGGAAGAAGCTGGGGTCACCCACCCATGGGGTCACCCACCCCACACCCCGCAAGCAGGGGTGGTCTCACCTGCAGGTAGCCAGGATGGGGTTGGGGGGCCAGCATCACGGGGGGAGATGTTGCACTGCTGCAGCACCCACTGCAGGTCCTCCATCACTGTGAGCTGTGCGGCTTCGGTACTACCTGAGGGGGGAGCACAGCAGGTGGGAGGTCTCACAACCCCAAAACCAGCCCTGGCTGAGACTACTAGGGTGCCCCCCCCCCAAAAAAAATAACTGGGGGACCAGCACCTACCTGGGTGGGCAATTTCTGGGGCTATGTCTTGGGGAGTGAGCTCCAGCTGCAAAGCGAACCAGGATGGGGTCTTACCACTGTGGATGGGGGGCACCCAGCCTCATCCTGCCTTGCATCTCAGCTGGGTCCTGGGCTGCAGCTCGGGAGCATCCCAAGGACATGGGGTGCAATGCCTGAGCAGCGGCACCTCCCCACCCCCCCACCCACTGTGCCAACCCCACTACCTGCGGCTGCTGCTGGTCCACTGCAGGGTCACAGCTGTCATAATCTCCCTCTTTGCCATGCCAGAGGGTGTCTGGAAGGAGAGCAGCATGAGCAGGGCACCCTGAGATCACCTGTCCCACCCCCCAAAACAGCCCCTCCCATGGGGTGAGGCTCACCTGGGGCAATGGCGAAGACCTTGTGTGGATCATCACCATACTTGGAGCAGTCCTCCAGCAGCATGAACATGCGGGTGCTCCTCAGGGCACAGCGGAAGTTGGTCTTCCACTTAGCTGGGTCCTCAGGGCACCCCTCATATCGCCCACTCGCCTTTGCCCAGGCCTGGGCGGCGCGGGGGCGGGGAGGGGGTGAGTATGGGGACCCTGGCTCCATGAGCATGGAGGTTTCAGGGATGCCTTGGTCGCTCTCTCCCCACCTTCCCAGTTCCCACATTCCACCCACCTTGAAGACCTCAAAGTTGCTGCTGGTTATCCTCCCCATCACACCCACCTTGAATACCTTGAGCTCACCCCTGGTCAGCTACCATCTCACCCACCTTGAAGACCTCAAGGTTGCTGCTGGTGACACTCCATTCCACCCCCCTTGACTACCTCAGTGTGGCTCCTGGTGACCCCCCCATCCCACCCACCTCGAAGACCTTGAGTTCATTGTTGGTCAACCCCATCCTACCCACCTTGAAGACCTTGAGCTCACCCCTGGTGACCCCCATCCCACCCACCTTGAAGACCTCCAGGTCGCTGCTGGTGACATCTTTCCTGGCGTTGTGCTTCCAGGGGACGCGGAAGATCCTGTGGTTCGGGTCGATCCAGCACAGTCCCCGGTAGTTCCCGCTGCTGACGGCGCTCAACAGCCAGGGCCCAAACCGCAGCTTCTGGTTCTCCCTGTGGAAGCGGGACCGTCACCGGGAGGGAGCCGGGGCCACCCGGAGAAGGCCAGGAGGGAGATGCTGGGGTGCTGCTTACCCCTCGTTCGGCGGCTCTGCCATGGTGCCGCGGGGTCCCCAGTCCTGCAGGACCCGGGGCGGGTGGGTGACCTCAGCTCGGGGCGCGGCCACCTCCCGCCCGGCCCTTTTATCCGCCCCCTCCACCCGCGTCCGGTTTCCCGAAAAACACGTGACTCTTCCGAAAGTGAAAGTGTCGCCGGCGGGCACCCCCGCCGCGGGGGGGTGGGGGTGTGTGTGTCACGCACACCGGTCCCAGTGATGCACCCGGACGGATGCTCTGGCCCCAGCCTGGTCCACCCCCCGGGGGATGCTGGCAACCCCCTCTCCAAATTAGTGATAATTTAAAAAAAAACAACAAACCAAACCAAACCAAAAACAGTCTTAGGCCTTGCCCTGCACTGGCATGGGAGTGGGACACAGATCTTGCAGGGCAAGGGGCAGGATCAGTCCCCGAGCTTGGGCTGGGGGGCAAAACGCCCGTGATGCGGCGCTGGGGTTGCTCCCCATGGGTTGTTGAGGCCCCAAAAGTGCTGGTGCAGGACAGCTGCACCCCAAAATTAAACACAGGTTTGCAAAGAGCAAAGGGCAGGTGGGACACCCCAAAACGCCTGGGTTCAGCCCAAAAACAGCTGCACCCACCACTGCCAGGGCTTTCCAGGGTGCACCGGCCACACAGCCCGGGCACACAGGGTTCAGCCTCGGGGCTGGAAACTCCCGTGACTTTTTATTTACTTATTGTATTTATTTAAATGCTTCTTCTTTCAGGCTGTCTTGGTTTCCACACTATAGTGCCTCACCACCCTTAAAGTGAAAAACTTCTTCCTAATGTTTAATCTAAACCTGCCCTCTTCCAGTTTATAGCCATCCCCCTCGTCCTGTCACTACGTGCCCTAGTAAAAAGTCCTTCTCCAGCTCTCCTGTAGGCCAAGTACAATTAGCAATGAAGAGGTTTTTACATGCAAATCAGTCATGTTTACTGAACAAACTCTCTCAATAAGCTTTATTTAAAAAAAAAAAAAAAAAGAAGAAAGAATAAAAGCAAAACCCAGGAGGGCAGTGGGCACTGGCTATGCTTCCCGCATCCAGGAGCCGGTTTTCCCGGCACTCCCTTTTCCCATAAAGCCAGGGTGTTCCCGCGGGCCTGGCGCTGCTCCTTAGGTTGAACATCTGCAGAGGCGCCAAGGGAGCTGCTGGCACACGGTTTCTGGGCCTCAAAAGCTGCTTTGACGGGATCTGGGGATGGGTCAGGATGCTAAATGAGTATCATGAGCACCTCTGGTGCTGCTGTCCTGCATGGTGGCACCGTGGGTTTACGCAAAAAAATAGAAAGGGAAAAAAAGGAGGAAAAACAACCCCAGGGTCATGCATCAGCCCTGCATGTGTGTTTCGGGGCCGGCACCACCCTTGCAAATGGGTGAACCCTATGGGGGTCCCCACTGTCCCCACCAGGCCCCAAAAGCAAGGGGGAGAGCCGGCAGAGGTGAGAGTGGGGTCCTGGTGGCCAGTGCATGGTGGCAGCATGTTCCCCCCATCCCAGAAAGGGGAAGCGGCACCCGGCCAGGGCTACAGCTGGTTTCCAGTAACATGGGCCCCAGGCGCAGCCGCCCATGATAGAAAGCGGTCACCCTGTGCCCCAGACCGTTGCAGTGCAGGTTATGTAGGTTTTTGCATTAAATTAGAAGAGAATTAGCGCATAACCATGATATGAGGCAGATCACGTGCAGCCCAAGCACTAGCTCTTCCTTGAGCCGAAACCCCCCCCCCCCCAAGATTTGCAGGCGTTTTACAGATTTATTACTCAAGGACTAGAGTGGTGGTCATCGGCCTCATTTGGCCTCTTTCTCCTTACGCTTCTTGCTTTCAAGGAAATTTCCCCTTCTTTCCAGGAAATGTCTCCCTACTGCTTACTAGGAACCCCTGCATGGTTTTCCAGGACATTACCCTTTGTTTTCCAGGAAGTTTCCCCCTTCCTTCCTAAGAAATCCCCCTATCACTTACCAGAAAATTTCCCTTTGCAGGGTATTTCCCACCCGTTGCTTGCCAGGAAATTCCTCTCTTGCTTCCAGGGAAAGTACCTTGTTGCTTTCTAGGAATTTTCTCCCTGCTTAAAGGACTTCTATTGCTTTCTAGAAAAATAACTGTTGCTTCCCAGGAAGCAAGAAATTATTTCCCAAGAAATCTCATTCTTCCTGTCCAGGAAATTTCCTTTTTGATTTCCAGCAATTCCTTCTCTGCTTTCTGGGAAATTTCCCCTCTAGGAAATACCACTGTTACTTCTTAAGAAATGTCACTTTTGCTTTTCAGGCCTTTCCTCCTTGCTTTCTAGGAATTTTCCTCCTTCAGTTTCTAGCCTGTACCTCTTACGGCTTTCTAGGAAGTTCCCTCATTGCTTTCTTACAAATTTCCAGAATATTTCCCCCCTTGCTTTTGAGGATTTCCCCCTAGTGGTCTCAAGGGAATTCCTACATGGTGTTGCTGTAAATTTCCCCTTCATTTTTCAGGATATTTTACTGTAGGTTTCCAGGAACTCCTCTATTGCTTTCCAGGAAATTTCCCTTTTGCTTTGTAGGCAGTTTCCCCCAGGGCTTTGGGAAATTTCCTCATTGAGTTCTAGGAAATTCCACTAGCCAAAACTGACGCACCCACCTGAACCCATGACAAGGGTGTATGGCACCTCCCCCAGAATGTATTTAAGGGCAGTAAACACCACAAAACCCAAACAAACTGGAGCCACAAGAGCCACAGTCAGGGCAGGAGCAAGGGACAAGCTGACATGGGACAAGGTACAACTGAAAAGGGCCTGGGGCAGGTGGAGGGACGTGGTAGGATACACAAGGAGTTAACCCCTCCCCTAGGGACAAGTGGCACCCACAGGGATGGGAGCAGAGGTGTGTTCATTTGTTTACTTTTATTTTTCAATACTGCAATCAATGCTTAGAGGTTTCTGTTAATCAGTTACTAATTAAGTTGATGGGAATTCTCCCATTTAAAACTCTATTTTTTTGGCTAGTGGCTCCCGTGGGGCCACAGTCACTACCCGCTGCCACCTCCCCTTGTCCTCCTGGTTCACGGACATCTCCAAGCAGCTAAAAATCAGCCCTATTCAGGTCACCAGCTCCAGTGTGGTGGAAGAACTGGAGATTTCAGGAGGAAGAGTCAGTTTTACAAAGAGGTTTTTAAAAGCATCCAAAAGGACAAAGAAAGCTTTTCCTGAATCTCAGCCCTTCACAGCACCGGATTTTCCTCCAAATGTAACCCCACAATATAAACCTGCATTTCGCCCACCCCTCTGCAGCTAGAAGTAATCCAGCTTCAGGGGGCAATCTTTGTAGGCAGAACGGCAAGCAGCAACCCCACTAGTTTTATCATCAAGATTTTTTTTCCCAAGGAATGGGACAACTTAAAAAAAAAAAAAAAAAAAAAAAAAAAAAAAAAAAAGAAGAAAAGAATCTTTCTCTTTTAATCCACCCAAGGGAAATCCGGAGCAAGAGCAGCATCACAGCACTACACACAGCACAGACATCTATCATCATCTTTGCACAGGTTCCTTCCCAGATACAATGGAGAAGTCATTAAGAAAAACAGAAAAATAAAATTATTCACATATGCAAAGTGACAAGTAACAAAACAGCCACAGAAGAACTTTTTTGGAGAGAAGAAGGACACATCAAGGAAGAAGGCCCTCAACATACAGGTTTTGGAAAAAGCTAACCCAAGAACATTGAAACAGAGGTGATTTTCTTTTAAACATTAAAAACTGGGATTTTTTTTTAATTAATTTAAATATATATTTGAAACATAAACACCAAGCAAGTGCCTGGAGAACAAAGCAAAAAGAAGAAGGAATGAAAAGTGAATTTGACCAGTTTAATTTAAACACCAAAGTTGGGTGGATTGCACCAAATGGAATAAATAATGGAGAAGATCACACTGGGTCGGTAGATCTCACACTTAAGATCATTTAAGCTAGAATTAATTACACAGCCCAAGAGAGTACTGAACAAGGAAGTCCTCTGATAAGTGATGTTAGCTGGGGCAGTGTCCCTTTGACAGAGCGGGTTGTAGGTGTGGATTTAGCCCCTGCCACCCAAAAACGATCACCAACCCAGAAGTGAGCGGGATGACACGTGATCCAGAGGACTCAACCCTGTAGTCGTAAGCAGGCAAACAGCTCCTCGCTTGGGGTGTAGGAACCCTCTGCCTCTTCAACAGTGGCTGGCTCCAAGCATGCCCAAGTCAAACATCAAAGCACGAGACCTTGTGTTTTCACCCTGTAAGGTGAACACACAGGTGCGGCTCCCCGAGGTTGGGAACCCCACAAAAGGAGCAGGCCCCTCCTTTCACACACGTGGGGCCAGGCTGGAAAAAAATATAATAAAAATCAGCTAATCAACACCTGCAGCCACTGTTTTATCACCCCAGGGGTAGACAGGATGAAGGAATGTAAGCGGTTTCTTGTTTGGTTTTCTCTCCCCGCAACCCCTGCATTAAAAAAAAAAAAAAAAAAAACCAAAAAAAGAACAAACCCCCCCCAAACCCCCTGAACAAAAATAACTTGATCCCAAGTTCCTCTGCCTCCCCTGCTTGTAGCCAAGCAGTGAAGAAGCACCTTCGGACATTTGTGTGATCCCACAGACATGTTCCCTACAGAGCAGACATCTCATCTCTGCACCTCACCCGGATGTGCCTGTGGCACCTAGTTAGAAGGGACATCCCTTTGCTTTAAAACAATAATTGCAAAAATCAATAGTAACGATCCCCTTTCCCTTCCTCTGACCTCCAAGAAGTTCATCTAAGTCCAATTCATTTTTGAGAAAGGGAGAAGTAAAGGGTGAAGGTTTCCAGGCCAAGGAACTTGCCAGATCCAGCATCTCCCCTGCTGTGCCTCCAGCGGCAATGAGATAAGCCCCCTTTGCGCAGTGCCTGCTCTCGACCCGGGGCCAGCACAGCTGAGGGGGGGCTGCAGGGACACAGCTGCCCCTCCAGCTCCTCCTCAGATAGCTGGCAACTCCAGGAAGAAAGAGGGGGACTGGGGTGGATGA